AAACCGTGGCCAATTCTCCATTCTTCTCACCCCACACGACTCGTGTGACCGGGTGACACGAGTCGTGTGAGGTCACACGACCCGTGTCACTAGGCACACGAGTCGTGTGAAAAAACCGTGGCCATTTCTCCATTCTTCTCACCCCATACGACTCGTGTCACTGACCACACGAGTCGTGTGACCTGCCTGCACCTTGTTTTTGCTGTTTTTCGTCCCGATTCCATCTTTAACGCTTTTTCGGGCATATTTCCTACAAAACCAACGACAAATACACCTCTATCATAGATTAATAAATAAAACGAAATGGTGCACAATTCCCAAGATAAACACGACTAAATATCACACTATATCACTCATAATACATGAAAATATGATGAATGTCACTCGCGAGAAAACAGAGACCCTTGTGGGTTAAGTCGCTACTCGCGACATCCTTTTTTTTTTAAAACAAGAATAAAAAGAAAGCATATAATGAAAAAACATAATATTGTAAAAGTTCCCAACAACATAAAACCGAACAACGAATAGAAGAAAATATGTCATACATCAGGGGTTATTTTGAGCATCAAACCATAATTGCAACCTAGGCTGGTACTGATTCTCCCAATTCTCCACCGAAGCAGTTCGGTGTCTGAACCACATACTATGAATAAGCGGTAATGGACAATCCAGAGTCAAATCTGACCGAATGTAGTGTTCGTAGCTACCAAGATGACATATGCAAATCTCACGGCGTGGTCCTGTACTCGTTGATGCTGCAGCGAGCGGCAATACTGTGCAGTTGAACTGGTTGGACATACGACCATCGCGATCAAAGCTTAAAACAACGACAACCACATTAAATAGGGTTGCAACAGGGTTGTGGCCTAGCCACGTCTACTCGAGATATTGAACCATTTTTGTGCCATTCCCATATTTTGCATTCAATTGAGCTACGGCAACGTCGTACTCATCCGGCGTACTGGCATCCATAATCGACTTCCACCAACCGAGCAAGAACCTCTCAGATAATTTTTTATCTTTCCCAAACAGGTTGTACACTTTGTCTTTCACATCTTTGTTGATGTGCCACGTGCAGAGTAAGTGGGCAGATTGGGAAAAATACCTCTTAATAGGAGTCAATAAGCCCAACTCTCTGTCACTGACAACAGCATTAGGATGCACCTGAGCAGCGGCAAAAAATAGTGAGACACGCCAAAAAAAGCTCAAATTTTTTTACCATATTTTACAAAGTACTTTTATATACTAATTATTAATCATGTACTTCATATAAATCCTTACCGTATAGCCTATGAGAGGTCTCAACTTGTCGAGAACCCAATCATAACTGGTCTCTTTCTCGTCCTTCATGAGGGCATACGCAATTAGAAAGATATTGTTGCACGACATCATGCCAATCATCTCGACCAACGACATCTTGTACCTGTGAAAATGAGACCAAAAGAAAAAAATTATAATCACATAAAATTTAATCCAAAATACAAATTTAAATTAATACTAATAACATATCTGTAAATTTAAAATACATGTTGGTTTTGTACGTCGAATCTATGCCGACAAACCAATAATATATCCGGAATAGACTCACTGAATCAGGATGAGCCATGAATATGTGTGTCAGCGCATTTATATTCGGATCGACATTTTTATAAACTATATACTTGCTGCTGCTAGCCAAATGTAGAAGTTGGGTAGGAACGTCCCTACCCTCAAGACTTTCCTTACGCAACCGGTCTCTATAGTTATATACATGTCGCCGATTAGCATGGTCGTGTGGATTTTTTTCCTGGACGGCGGCCAAAATATTTGCTAGTGTCACATGTGCAGCAGTCATATCACGAATAATTTTTTTTTTTTATGACTGGCTTATGCCGCTCGACTATCGATGGCCCTCAGGATACACAACAAATGAATGATTATGGTATCCCTTCGTTTCGTCTTGGCTCGTGTGGATCATCCAGTATGTCGATCTGGCAACACGCTTTACTTGTATCTCAAAAGGGCACTGACACACTTTCGTTTTTGAATGTCTAGAAACAACTTTATTCATATCTACGTTTTTGCCTCTATAACGTTCGCCTCGATGGCACTTCAAGATCTTCAGCCTTCCGGGTTTTTTGTGTTTCGAAATAGTAAAAAAGAAACCATTCAGAATTGCCGTACTTTTTGCATCCTTAATAACCTCTACAACCGGCCGTAGTGGCCGGACACCAAGTGGGTCGTACGGCCGGTCTGATAGTACGAAGACCGGTCCGTGCGGCCAGCTTTTCCGCACGACCATAGGTGTGTCCGGTCGAACCGGCCGGACGCCTGTTAAGCCGTCCGGTCCGGTCGGTTGGAGACCACCGGGCGCGTGCTACGTTTCCGGCCAGACAGAAAAAAATACCTCTGAACTGCTAGACATTGTGCGAATGAGAAGGGCAAAATCGTCCAAGGAGGGCGGTGACTAGTAATAAGAGGGGAGGTGAATAGTAACGCCCATCCGATAACCGGTTCAATTTTGAAAACCGTACTAAAAACCCTTGCCAAATTTTGTTTGATTGACTCAACCAATATTTTGTTGAGGAAAATAAAAAATGAAAAAAAAAAAAAAAACTCAATTTACACAACTTTTTCACAATAGTCTCTCTGCTCCAAATTTAGGGACACTTTTCGCTCACGAAATATTCAAAATGTTGGTGTTTTATAACATTTTAAAACAAAATAATACAAAATAATAATAAGGATTCAATGGCATTGAAATACTTTGAGGCTCAGATCTGCGAATGAGAGCGCATAAAGAGAATCCAACCACCGCCATGGCTGCGAGAAAAAATCTCACCGGTTGCTCGATAGCCATCCGGATCGCCCCGCCAAGATACGGGCCGGGTTTTCTCTTCGCCCCAAAGCTCAGAGGAATTAATTAAAGTATCATCACAGCCTCGTGATCAAAACCAAACACCTTTCTTGTAATTGAATGTGGAGGAAAAAAAAAAGAAAAAGAAAAAGAAAAAGAAAGACAGCATCAACAGTTGTTGTTGTTGTTGTGTCTGCTCACACGAAAGGGGTTGTTTGGTTTATTGAGAAGGGGAAAATCATTGGTGGGCGAGAGAAACAGAGAGAGGCAAACACGCCCTTATTAATAAGAAACCCCCAAAGATCTTTGTCTCTCTCGCTCGCCACCTTCAGATTTTTTTTAACCTCTGAGCTTTGATCCCCTCCCAAATGTGATTTTTAGGCCAATGTCTCTGTCTTTTATTAGCTGAAAAGCGTGGTTATTGTTTTTTTTTTTTTT